TGGGTTCATTATTTAAGGTAAACGTGCATTCGTCAGTGAAACATATGATTTTTAAAAATTCCCTTCCGTGTTTGCTCTTTCTATCATATCAAAACAAAACGCCTGCAGCCGTATTTCGTCCCCATCTCGTAGCTCTTGGTGCTTTTCATATTTGAAGGAATAGTATTTATGTCGTTTCAAAATTCGAAACGCTGTAGTGTGATCTATTCCTATTTCATCCTCAAGTTTCCTTGTGCTGATCTTTCCATCGTTCTCTTCCACGCACAATAAAACTTCCAAGTCGGTATCATTTCTTGCACCTTCTCTTTGTTCCTGCCTTGCTTCACATCTGCAGTTATTTATTAGGGTACCTTTGGTCTCAAATCTCTGAATATTTCTTGCGATTGTAGATTTTCCAGGTATTGGTCTATTCAGATACAGAGCAGCAAACATGTCCGACACCTTTTGATAACTATTTCCTTGATAATGCCATTTAATCAACAATACTTTTTCTTCGGTAGTGTAATTCATGGCTAATATTTTCGATGTAGGTATGAGTTTTTTTAATAATAATAATAAGCGGGCCGAGGTTGTCATATTTCAACCATAAAGCTCTTGCCGCGAGTAATAAACAAATTAACAACCTGTACAGTCAATACATTGTTTTAATATACAATATTAGGTATTTGCAATGACGTATCAAGAAATTCAGACTTATTAGGGAGCTGGTGTTTCCCAATTTTCCCCAGAGAATCTGCATTCGCCGTTGTTTCTTAGCTTCGAAGATTGTTCTTTCTTAAATCCAGGAAAAAATCTTTGGTTTTTCTCAGTGGCGGCTTAACCATGAGATCAAATGGTCAATGCCCAACCCCCCCCCCCAAAAAAAAATAGGAGAAAATTAGAAAAACATATTTAAATTATACTTTTTGTAAATCACTTTTTTTTATCCTAAAATATTCAAAACTATTCCCAATTTGTCCAATTTTCGCTTGAAAACATTTTATTTTACCCATTTTCTCTACTGCCGGTCAAAATTTCAGTTTGTCCTTCGTTCCCGCTATGTTTTACACGTATTAAACTCCAAGTGCCAGGGCTCGTGACGCCAACAAGGTAAGGTATACTACGTATAGAAAATATAATGGGTTAAGGTGCGATAGATATAGTTTATATTGGCCATTGACCGCGTCATTCATAAAAAAATTTGTTAGTCTACTACTATTACTACTACTACTACATTTTGGTAGTTTACTGACAGACGATATAAAATGTGGCGGTTTTTGTCTTTGTCTAGAAAAAAAACCAGCGTGTTATTATTGTAATTTGTAATATTGTTTATTAGTTGAGAATCAATATAGTTGATTAAGAAATATTGAGTGCATTATTTCTATATAAATATATTACAGGATTTCAGGATACAGGAAAAATTTCGCCGTTCGGGTGTTTATAAAAACATACATACATACATACATACATACATACATACACAAATTATAAAACACAAATTATAAAACAACCTAAGTTTTTGTATCGTTTATCGCGTATAATGTCTGATTTAGTCATTATAAATCAATATTTAAATTTTTAATATGGAAAAAAAATTAGTTTTAGTTGCCGTAGCTTTGTCGTAGCCGAGGGTTTGACATGCAGCGCGAAATTTGTGTAGGAATAATTTATAATTTTCTGGTTCTGGATAAATGATGAACTCTTGTTGACTGATTCTGGAATAGATATTTTCAAATAGACGATATATGGTGTTTAGTTTGTAAAATCGTGCGGTTAAAAGAAAACAATAATTGCTTAAATTTCGAAAACGTTTAGAGAAAGAATTGACTTAAAATATAAAAAAAAGTGAAATAAAACCTTTAGAAATGTGTATGTGTATATACATATTTATATTTTTTTGACATTATTATTTTAGTGTCTTTTAAATCCTACCGTCGAAAATTTGTGAAAAGAACATTCACTGGATCTTTAGTGAAATGGCACTAGACCACCTGTTTAAAAATGTAAGGGTAGGTTTCATTTTAACATAATTTATATTTATTTTTAGATTTATTTTCCTTTAACTAAACCTACAAGTACCTTGTAAGAAACCAATTAAATTTGGTCGCGTCTTAAAAAAAATCGACGCAATATTTTTAGATATTGACCTCCCTACAATAATAACCACGAGCCGCTACTGGTTTTTCTTGATCGTAAGTCCTGAGACTGTCGTTGGCTTGTTTCTACTTGGGAAGCAGAACAGTTCTGTCCAGTTAGTGGCGTGTTCGCTCCTTTTCTAGCTAGATCAATGACTAAAGAATCCAAGGACAAATAACACCCGAGAGCAAAGTGTGACGATGTCACCAAACAGTGCCGTGGCACATATTTTTCTTAACCTAGCTGTTTGAAGCAATATTTATATTTTTTGAGAATTGTTTTGACTACGCCTATGGCGTATCATCCTAATTAATTACGAAAAAAAAGTATTAAAATGTTAACAAAAGGTACAAAACTAGTATCGACGTATAGCACATATCAAGTACATATAGATGTTAATTGAAAATGAAGAATAATTATCGAATTCAATAAGAAAACGCTAAAAAGTTGGAGTGGACTGTTTATTTACCTATGAAACGTAACTTCTGGCTCTTTCTTATCGCTGCTGCTTTTACACTTAAAAGCTGAACAACTAATCACCATTGTAATAAAGTTTATACAAAGTTTACTACACACAAACTATTAAAAATCGCTAAAATTGTCGCTGCTGACCAAATGATGACTCATTGTTTGCCACCATTCGAATAATTCGATAGTTAGTAAGAAAACATTCGTTGAAAACTATTCGAATAAAAATTATCGAATAGATCCGTCATCTGCCTTGAAATATTGTATTCTAGTAATTCGGCAGCAAAAACCATTCATTTATGAAATTCATTCATTCGTCAGGATCGATTATAATAAAATATTAACTGAATTTTAGTTCTCGCCTGGCGACGTAGGTTTCTTTCCGAGAAACCCGACAGCGGTCGATGGCAATGCTATGAAAGAAGCCGGCGCGGCATCTTTGATTTTTTGCGGAGTCAGATATAGATAAGGACACATTATTTTTTTATTGAGGTGCTAGTATTTACACAGAAAATACATTATGAAAGGCGCTGTTGCCATATTTTGGTATTAGTTGATATTAGCAAAGAATATTATTGTTTGGCTTTAGTTAATTAGGGATAGTATGTCTATATATTCTGCATTTTTTTTTATTAATATTCTGTTGTTACACTGCAATAATACTAGTTATTTTGGATGTAGGGAAAATTATTTTAATGTTTTTTAGCAAAGACTAGTTTAATAAATAATAATAACAGTAATAATTTGTTATACCTATTAACAACAAAATTTAAAATCATTTAATATAAATATTTTCTTTTAAGTAGTAGCAAAATATAAACAACAAATTAGATGTCAAAATTATTTATATTAGATCCCATTTAAAAATAATATAGTCTCTAAATTTTTTGGCAACGTTGGTTTTTTAAATAATAATAATTACAGAACTAATTTGTTATATTAACAACAAATTTTAAAATCATGAAATATAAACATTTATTAATTTTCTAAGCATGCAGTGTAATGGAAGAAAAATATAAATAAAAAATTAGAAATCAAAATTATTTATATTAGGTGCTTTATATTACTATTTAAAAATTATATTTACTTTTACTGGCATTTACTTTAAAAAATAAATGAAATATTTTTTCTTCGCAAAAAACTACATGTAAGAGAATTAGCATAAACAAAATACAAACATCGTTAACTTTTTTTTTAAATTGGTACGTGTAAAACTTTTATTTTAATTTTCTCACCCCATAGTTTCAGTTCGATAACCATTTACTTAAATATGATTATACAACCACATTACTTAAATATGATTATTAAGTTCAACTAATTCATATTATTAAAACATCTAAAATACAAATGTGTATTTTTAAAATTAATTGTAAGTTCATCTCATCTCTCTTAAAAATTGCTACTTCTCAAAATTTCACATTAAAAAATAGACCATATACCATATAAAATTAAATAATTGAAAGATCGGACTACGGAAAACCACACAAATTTTCGGAACAATTTTGACCACCTGCATATGCACATAATCGTCAATAAATAAAATTAAAAAATAACTACTATTTTAGTATTTTAACTATCTTAATAAACGCAAAAATAGGACAGTATTTATACGGCGAAGTTATAAAAATTTGGAAGAACTAATAATGCACTAACGGATACAAAAATCAAACGAATACTAAATTTTATTTATCAAAAGCATTCGATAGTCGTGGCTCAACGATAACCATTTAGTCGCACGGCGAGGTTGTCACATATGCTTTAGTATACAAATGAATGAATGATTTTATTCGAATAAAACAATTCGATAGTTGAAATCATTCATTCATTAACCATTCGAATAAAACAATTCGATAGTTGAAATCATTCATTCATTAACCATTCGATAGTCTAATTCATTCGATAGTTCCCATCGCTAGTTTTGACTACGCCTATGGTGTATCATCCTAATTAATTACGAAAAAAGAGTATTAAAATGTTAACAAAAGGTACAAAACTAGTATCGACGTATAGCACATATCAAGTACATATAGATGTTAATTGAAAATGAAGAATAATTATCGAATTCAATAAGAAAACGCTAAAAAGTTGGAATGGACTGTTTATTTACCTATGAAACGTAACTCCTGGCTCTTTCTTATCGCTGCTGCTTTTACACTTGAAAGCTGAACAACTAATCACCATTGTAATAAAGTTTATACAAAGTTTACTACACACAAACTATTAAAAATCGCTAAAATTGTCGCTGGTGACCAAATGATGACTCATTGTTTGCCACCAAAAGAAAGGTCTCTAAGGTCACAAATTCTGCTGCAGCCCGTATAGGGGCGTTACATGTCCTTATATTCTTTAGTCATTGAGCTAGATCGTTTCGCTTTTTCAGAGCAAAGTAACTTATTAACAAAAACAACACAAAATAAAAAATATAAAACATATATTTACAGTTAACAATAAAAACATAGATCAATAAACTTTGTTCCTTATTTTCACTTGAAAATTAAGTAGATCATATTGGGTAGTGTTTCCTAGACACTTAATACAATTAAATCTCAGAGAAATCAGTTCACTTAGAGGAGTCCTTTTGGAAAATGGTTTGTCTATATAAGTACTCAACCGTCAGGCTTTTTTAATTATTTCAATGTAGCCATAATTATTTTCATATATATAAATTCTTTGTTGGTATAGTGATGTGGTAATGGTATCTCTATGTTAACTTATTTTTCGAAGAATTAAATAATATGATACTGAGATGTTCTAAGGTATGTACGCGGTAGATGAGGAAGGTATTGGTTCTGTATGCATATTTTCAACAATATGTTGCTCATCTTCACGTTGTGATGATTCTCCTATGGTTGGTAGACTTGGTATAACCCTCTTTACTTTTCTTTTCACTCTTTTCCTCATCTGTTTCAACTTTTCATCTTGAATTTTCCTAAAAAATAGTTATAATTTATAGAGGGTGTTCAAAATAATTAGAAACAATTGCAAAAAAAATTTCTATATTTTTTGATATACCACGGTCTGGTTCTATTTGAATATCTTTAACTCAGTTTCAAACATATGATTTGGATTTTTTTTTCAATTAGAGTCAATGACTAAAGTTTCATTCAGAAGCTCGCAATTAGTGGAATAAATTAGTGGTTTCAATTACACTTTATACTTTGTAGTTTACGATCATTCACAATGTTTAAAAAACACAATTATTAAAATTAATAGAATATCTTAGCAACAGCTTGAGTTAGTCAGTTGTATCCATAGAGAATGCCTAATATTTAGTTTATAAAACAATCAACTTTTGATTTCTAACCATAATTTCTCTTGACGGAAGATAATCAAAGGCCAAAATGACATTTCTCGCAAATTTTGGTGTCTCGCCATAATTAGTGGAAAAGTCAAAAATTTTTCTACTAATTACGAACAAACTTCTACGCTAATTGCAACCACTAATTGCGACCACTAATTTTGAAGTATAATTAGTGGAAAAGTCTAAAGTTTTATAACTTTTTCTACTAATTGAAAATGTTTACAACTAATTTTGACGTTTTGAATGCTTACATTGAAATTAAAGGAACAAACTTCTACGCTAATTGCAACCACTAATTGCGACCACTAATTTTGAAGTATAATTAGTGGAAAAGTCTAAAGTTTTATAACTTTTTCTACTAATTGAAAATGTTTACAACTAATTTTGACGTTTTGAATGCTTACATTGAAATTAAAGGAACAAACTTCTACGCTAATTGCAACCACTAATTGCGACCACTAATTTTGAAGTATAATTAGTGGAAAAGTCAAAAGTTTTATAACTTTTTCTACTAATTGAAAATGTTTACCACTAATTTTGACGTTTTGAATGCTAACATTGAAATTAAAGGAACAAACTTCTACGCTAATTGCAACCACTAATTGCGACCACTAATTTTGAAGTATAATTAGTGGAAAAGTCTAAAGTTTTATAATTTTTTCTACTAATTGAAAATATTTACCACTAATTTTGACGTTATGAATGCTTACATTGAAATTAAAGGAACAAACTTCTACGCTAATTGCGATCACTAATTGCGAGGTTCTGAATGAAGCTTAAAGATTACAGAATTATTAGTAAACATTTTGTTTTAATGCATAATATTTAGAGAATGGAATGAATAGAAATGATAAGAAACAATAAATATTGTTTTTGTGATTTCTAGTATTACTAATTGATAATACAAAGATAATTGGCGCAAATGATGCAACAAAAACGTTGGTAATTTCCAGAAAAAATTGCAAAATATACTTACTGTTGTCGACAATCGATGAAAATTGCCATTAGAAATATTAGAACTATGACTAAAACTGATAATATCACAAAGATCACGACTGTGGTCACCTGGTTGGTTTCATCTTGAATGATTTCTGTTATGGTGGGGTTAGTACTGGTTGATTCGTCTGAAAATACAACAAAAAACGATTATTTTGGATTATTTTTTTGTTATTGCATGGTTAGAGTTAGTAGAATAGACTAAAATACCAAAAAATATACCGCATGATCGAAAAAAAAATCGACGTCAATGACAATCGATGATAATTTTGGCGTGGTCAATCTATAGATGTCATTTGTTAAAAATTTGACATAAAACTCTATTTCCAAAAAAAGATTTTTCTAACTGCACCATTTAAAAATCATTTTTACTCAGTATAAAAATAAATTGCAACCTTCCTAAGCGCCATAAAAAAATATAGAAGACTGTAGGCCAAGTAAATGACGTTTAGAGCTTGACCTCGCCAAAATTATTGTGAAGTGTCATTCCCCAGCCGTCTTTTGACGCCGTTTTTTTTTCGATTTTATGGTATATATTTCTACATAATTGTTAGATATTTATTATGTATGCCTTTGTTATATTTCACATCCTTGTACTACATTTTTATCAAAGTTGTAAAACAAAAATTTCGAAAAAAATACAATGAACCCTAAAGTTAATATTTAAATTAGACCTTGGATAGTGTAAATTGTTTGTCAAGAAGAACATGTCTAGCTTAATCAAACAATGCATCATTATATATTTTAACTTTACTTAATTTAAATTATTAACTTATAAAAACATACGTCTATAATATATTTCAAGGTATATTTATTTATTTACTAGCGTGTACCAGCGACTTCGTTCGCGTCGAATTAATCATTTGTAATGGCGATGATAAAGCAAAGCAAGAATTTCCATTAACATACAAACTGGATAAAATTTTCTCACATTTATGTCAGCATGAGAAAAACAATATGGTGATATTATTATATAACTTGGTAATATTTGAGGGGTAGTTTCATCTCGTTGGAATTTGACTTTCGTACAAATCCGTTTGCCAAAAATAAGCTTTTTACGTCAAGCAGTTTAAGCAGAATCGTGGTTAATCAATTACCCAACTTTTTGGAACACCCTGTATGATTTTTTAAAAAATTTCAAAATATGTAAAAAAAACAAATAAATTATGCTTGTCCAAGCGTTTTCACGAAAGACTAACCGTTTTTTAAATAACAAATATTGTATTATTTGAGCGTTTTCACCGAGGTTTTCACCCTCTTGGAATTTGAGATTCGAGAAATCCCTCCTTATCGAACCTCTATACCCCTCAGTCAATCCGTTTACCAAAAATCAGCTTTAAACGTCAATCAGTTTAAGCAGAATCGTGATTACTCAATGGTCATATTTTATGAAACACCTTGTATAAATTTATAAAAAATCGTAAAATATGTAAAACAACAAAATAAAATACAAGTATTTAAGACTTTTTCCGAAAAACTCACCGGTTTTTAAATAAAAAATATTTTAATATTTGAGGGATAGTTTCACCCCCTTAGAATTCGAGTTTCAAAAAATCCCTTCTTATATATCCCTCTACACCCTAAAGTCAATCTGTTTTCCAAAAATCAGCTTTTTACGTCAAGCGCTTTAAGCAGGATCGTGATTAATCAATGATCAGATTTTTCGAAACACCCTGTATACATTTTTAAAAAATCTTAAAATATGTAAAAAAACAAAATAAAATATACGTGTTTAAGCGTTTTTTCGGAAACTTGACCGTTTTTTAAATAAAAAATATTGTAATATTTAAGGGGTGGTTTCACCCTCTTACAACTGGAATTTCGAAAAATCCCTTCTTATCGAACCTCTATACCCCTCAGTCAATCCGTTTACCAAAAATCTGTATGCCAAAATTGAGCTTCTTACGATGAGTGGTTTGAGCAGGATCGTGATTAATCAGTAGTATTATATTATATATATTATATTATAAATATATATATATATATATATATATATATATATATATATATATATATATATATATATATATATATATATATATATATATATATATATATATATATATATATATATATATATATATATATATATTATTATATTCTCTATTTTCTATTTCTATCTCTGTCTATACTATATTTATTTATTTATTAAAAGTCTCTATTTAGCATCTTCGATTCCCCTATACTATTAGATATTTAACTTAAACAAACAGCAAGAAGCATACAATCTCTTTCTCTTTATCAGTGAAAGAATATCTTTCCTGCCTACATCCCAACAAAAAAAATATTCTTGACTTTTACCATGTAAAGTTATGGTGCTGTTTTTTTAATAAATCAAGAAACACCATGGATAATTCCTTATATAACAAAACCAGTTCCTTTAATACGTATAATTTCGTAATAAAAATGTTTAATGAAAAATGTATAAGAACTGGTATGGTATCCTTCAACCTGTGAGAGAAGCTGATGCTCATAAAATTAACACTTAAATTAAAGGGCATGTCATTGAGTAAAGCAATAAAAGCTGAGATGTGGTAATCTCAGAAAATTAAATAAACCAAGACTAGTGTTCTAAAATACAGGGTGTTATACATAACTTGCCCATTAACGGTTTTTTGTAGTGTTATTTGTTCTAAAAATATTAGTGACTATAATACAGGGTAGTCCAAACTTCGGCAGCATATTCTGCAGTTAAAAATACACACACCGGAAAAATCTAGGAATATAATTTTATTAAAGTTAAAAATAAATGTTTTGAATAAACAACCACATATTTGTAGGCCGATTCTTTCTACTTCGATTGAAACGAAGTGGTCACACTAGTTATTTCTAAATTTGGGATATTTGCAGAAGTGTTTGTGAATTTTTTGTCAAATGTATAAAAAGCACCTAGCATCAGTTGTTCGAATTTAACCTGTACTGGCTATGTTTTTATGATAACTGGCCAGAATTCATTCAAATAACTCTGTTTAGTATTAAACGACATTATGGAGGGTAGACATCTTAACAGAGACGAAATGCTAAGGGCCATGGGTATGCTCGAAGCTGGACTGCGCCAAATCGACGTAGCTAGAGCAGTATATTTAGTATTAAACGGACATTATGGAGCGTAGACATCTTAACAGAGACGAAATGCTAAGGGCCATGGGTATGCTCGAAGCTGGACTGCGCCAAATCGACGTAGCTAGAGCATACAGATACAACGCAAAGTGTAATATTGCGATTAAGTGCACGCTGCAGTGAAAGTGGTGATGTTGCTGAAAGGCACACAGGGCGACATCGCATTACTACCCCGCAGCAAGATCATTTTTTACAATTAAATGCTCGACGCCGACCGACTCTTACAGCACCAGAGCTTAGTTTAATTCTCCAGGAAACACATAATGTAACCGTTAGTCCTGACACTGTTCGCAATAGATTAAGAGAGGTCAACTTAAGAAGCAGACGCCCCTGGAAAGCTCAACCCTTAACGAGAGGAAATCGAGAGGTACGATATTTGTGGGCTCAAGATCATGTTCAGTGGTCGAATGAACAATGGGCCAATGTTCTCTTCACGGATGAGTCACGCTTTGGAATTCATCCGGATTCGAGAAGGCTTAGGGTATGGAGAGAACCGGGAAATCTTATTCGGTTGGATCATGTTCAGGAAGTGCACTCTTATCAAGGTGGAACAGTTATGGTCTGGGGAGGAGTCAGGCCGAAAAACCGATCTCGTTTTTCTTGAAAGGTTTCTAACAGGAATCACATATCGTGATTTAATTCTTGAGCCTGTCGTGTTACCATATGCCAATGATTTTGGGAGAAACTTCATTCTCATGCATGACAATGCACGGCCTCATACAGCCAGAGCGGTAAGTAAGTGAGTTTATCAATGCTCATCAATTAAACATCTTACCCTGGCCGGCACAATCTCCTGACCTGAACCCCATCGAGCACGTATGGGACGCGGTCCAAAGAAGAATTTTGAGAATGGGTATGCCTCGTGAAACTCGTAGGGATCTGGTTCGGGCCGTGAATGCAGCGTGGCAGGCTGTACCTCAAGAAGAGATCGACAACCTGACCAGGAGCATGGAGAGACGATGTAGGGCTGTAATGAACAGTAGAGGAGGCCATACCCTTTATAAAGTAAAAATGGTTTTATCTTTTTTTTTTTAATTCACAGTTTAGAATAAAAAAAAATGTGTGTATTTTTTTGAGTTCAATAAAAATCAAGGTAAATTTGAAAAATTCGGTAAATTTCGCATTTTTATTTCCAATACGTCCTGTAAACTATTTGTTTATTTTAATTTTATTATATCAGAAATACAAATAATAAAATTACTGATGATGGCTGGATAAAATTGTAATATCCCTAGACTTTTCCGGTGTGTGTTTTTAGTCACCATGTTTAATTTATGTCAATTATGACAGATATTGATAATTTCGATTCCAAATATCTCGAGAAGAGACATTTTTTACGTGAAAAACGTCGTAAATGTATATTTTTACTTAGTAGTTTTATACAGGTACGGACGAAAAGTTATTACTCTTCAAATTTTTTTATCTAAATATCAACTGTAGTTCAGAAATTATTTGGAAAAATCCGAAACAAAAATGAAACTTCTACACCCTGTATCTTCGAAACTAAGCATTTTAAGTTTAAGATATACATTTATACGATCTTTTTTACTTATTTTTATCTGCAGAATATATTTCTGAAACACAGATAGGACCACCCTGTATATTATTTATTCCGTATTAAGATTTGCAATGCTATTTTTTATAGGTGCCTCGATAAACAATTACATTGTTACTAAACTAACCCAAGGTTAAATCCCACCCATAAATTGTAATCCAGCATATTTACGAAAATTGCGAATTCGTCTACGATTGTTCTAAACTTTATTTCAAATATTTTGTTAAATTTTTGAGAAAAGATAACATTTTTCCGTCATCATTCATATTTTACTAACACAGAAACACTAATTTAGCGAGAATAAAGATAATTATACATATACAGGGTGACCCATTGTAGATTTTAAATCGTATGGTAGGTTCTTGAGTCATAACTCATCATACAGTCTCAGGGCTTTGCCAAAAGCCAGTATCTGAGACGGTTTTCTAGAGGTTCGTTGTCCAATATCAGTTG